AGTTAATGTAGTAGTACTTGTGGAACATTGATTCCCTCGGCAAGCGCTAATTTCTGCGGTGCTGGTTTCGATACTAGTAGTTTGACTTAATGAGGATACGTTGGTGGATGTTAACGGGGAAGATACCGTGGGAGTCTCAAATTTGACAGTCGAAGATATTACTGATGGCAGTGTTGACGAGGTAGTTAAGGGTAGAACAGTTCCGGCCAAATCTACAACCGTAGTTCCGAGATCGAAGGTTCTATTCTGTAACGATTCCGTCGTGTATCGGAATGTCGTATTGACGGGGAATGTTACATCGGTACCGTGATCCATGATAGCGCTTGTGGTAGTCTTTTCGTCGATCTGACCTTCATCCGTATCTATCATTGTTGGTCGATGACTAAATGGAGATGGAATAGTCTAGCGTTATTATAAAATTATTATGAAAAATTTGTATATATAATATATATCCATATGATTAAAAAAATAATTGTTATATTTAAAAAGAAAATATTTAAAATATTGTTATGAGAGAAATTAAAACACAAGATGCATGTTAATTTATTACAATAAGTATCGATATTCTAAACAAGTGATATTTCAAGATATTTCTCCATTTACCTAAAACTCGTCATGTACTCCGTTGCACGCGTTAGGTCTTCATCCACCCTTTCGGAAGCCGACGAATATGTTGTCTGATTATCATCCTTGGTAACTTTGCCATCATGAATCGATCTTTCGGTTGGAGAAGAAAATTCCGTACTTTCTGTTTCAGTTACATGAAAGAAACCTTCGGTAGCAGCGGACGACATTGCTGCGACCTCCGGTGTCACGACATCATCTCGAGTTGTTTCTTTACTAGTCGTGAAACCTGTCGACGGGATCTCAGTAAGTAAGATATCACTTTCGCTACTAACACTAGGAGAACCTCCGTCCTCGTATCCTGTCGTCGTGGTCGTCTTCTCCATAATCGTATAGCTCTTTGTGTAAAGCGAACTAGTTGTTCTCGAGGATGTTGAATACGTTGCAAAACTGGATGTTGATGATAAGGGCACAGAAGTATCCGCTATTGAAGTTGATCCTCTAGGTGAAATAATGGCGGTTGTAGTTTTAATCGAACTTGTTCCCTGTTCGGACGTGTCTTCTACTTCTATAGCGATAGTCGTCAAAGGGAAACTGTATTCGCACATGGAACCACTGTAATTCGGTAGACAGGAGCAAGTGAAGCTGTTGATACCGTCGATGCAAGTACCACCGTTTTCACACTGTGCAAATTTTGATTCGCAATCGTCGTATTTTAACTCGCATAATGCGCCGTGATAATCAGGCACGCAATAACAAACTGGATGATCATCCTCCAACAGACATACTGCTCCGTTTTGGCAAGGATTTTCATTACATGGCACAACTGCCCTGTCGCAGTCCTTGCCAGTAAAACCTTTTATGAAAATGGGTATGTAATGTATAATAATAATTAGTGTAATAAGGGGAAAAAAACATTTTATAATTAATTAATGATTCGAATATGAGTGCAAGATCTTTATAAGATTTCAATTTTATGAATAAAACTTTGACTCCACCAATTTTTCGCTTTTTCTAGATAAAAATATGTGATCTGTGAACCGCTTACCAAATAGACAAGCACAAGTATAGGAAGCTGGAACATTGATACAGAGGCCACCGTTTCTACACGGTGAACTTAAACACTCGTCAACGTCCACGTCGCAGAAAGTGCCGGTCCATCCTTTTCAGATCATACGGCCACGCATAAAAAAGAAGAAAAGATACCGTCAAGATAGAATATAAAAGCAAAATATTCTTTATATATGTATAATAATTTTACACAAATTACCTTCGCGACAACGGCAATAGAATGAGATTCCGGGTCCTTCGACGCATTCGCCGGAATTTTTGCATATTGTTTCGTTGCAAACAGAAGCGTCTATCTCGCAGTAATCTCCTAAAAGTAAAACAACAAAATAACAACGTGAAAATTTATTAGATAAATTTGTCATTATATGTCGCACCTGAATATCCCTCTGGACACTGACAAATGATGCCATCGTAATCGACGCAGGTGCCATTGTTAAGGCACGGATGATTCGAACATTCGCTATATCTTTGTTCGCAATTCATACCTAATTATTATTTAAAACATATCACTTGTATTCTCTTTGATTTTCTCGTATTTGGTAGGCGAAAATATGAAGAAAGATGTATTACCTACAAAACCATCGACGCAAGTGCAATTATATGCAGCAACACCATCGTTGCACGTGCCACCATTGAGACAAGGATTTGACCAGCACTCGTCCCAATTAATTTCGCAATTAATCCCCGTATAACCGTCGATACAATAACAAGAATAGGTGCTGCGTCATCCATGAAAATTTACAAAACAGAAGTAAGTAGACACTTTTCTATAATTTTGGCTATATTTTATTGTATTTATATTTTTAAATTAATTAGTGATATTAAAAAAGTTAAATCTCTAAAAATATTTAAGCTTATAAATATTATACTAATTACCAAATTTTGATCTAAATAATTTGATTGTTTATTATATTTTTCGTGTAAGATATTTTCAAATTTTTACGAAGAAATTATACATATAAGTTTACTTAAGTATTGCTATATTTATTTTCACTTATGTGTCCGCGTGATTGTATCTATATTTTACGTAATCCAACTCTTATGAAATTAAAATGCGTGCTTAGCAAGTGCATGTATGTATGTACCTGTTCTCGTTGTTCAAACAGATTCCATACATGCAAGGATCCTCGCTACAATCCGATTCTAGTGCAAACACTGTTATTGTAGTCGACAGTACTATCAGTATAAGAACACTTTGACACGTGGTGGTCCTCGCGAAAGGCAGGCAATAACTCCACTTATAAGCCAATCTAAGTAGTCTTACATACCTATACAGCATGATTATAGCATGATATATACATATGCCGATTTTTCTGTGATGTGTAAGTGTATGATATATGCACGTGCGCATATGTATACGTGTGTGTATTTTGTATGTATGCATCACGTTCATTGTGTACATCGTATAACGCGCGCATGATTGGAAAATTTACGTAAAGTCACGTTACGATGTAACTAACGAGATATAGCAATCTATTCGCGTCTCATATTGAATAATGCAATAATTTTCTAGACTCAACATATGATACACTTCAAGTATCAATTAAATTTAATAAAAAATATTTTTATTTTTATTAAATTCATTAATCACAAAAAGAAAATCTCCTGTACGCGAGATATGTAATTAATGAGAAGAATTATAAGGAAAATATATGTCACAATATAAAATAAAATTATTATAAAAAAAATTGTAATTTTATTAGATAGAATAAAATCAAATATAAAGATATTTAAAATTCTTTGTAGATATATGTTCAAAATAGGAAATATACAAGTTTGAACGAAAGAGTTGAATTTTAGCGTAATTTTCAACGATATAAAATAGACTCAATTAAACTAGAGCGATAATATATATAGCTTCGCGAGTTATGTCACTGTGCTAAATGCTCGTCCGTGACCTTTCCCGCGAAATTCGGCATTACGTTATCAGGTAAAACGCTGTAAAGAGAGTTAATTATACAATTGATCGATACGAGAATACCGTACGGTGATTCCTGAAAGGATTAAAAAACGAAACGGACTCGCCGAACCCGGGGGAATCGGCCGATGGATCTTTCTTTTCCATTACCTTCCCATTTCTGTGGACGGCGGGCAATAAAAAAAAAAGGGAAGACGCGAGAGTCGTCGTGGAACACGGCACTTTCGACGATCTGTACACAGTACGGTATGTCGCATATATCGCTCTATCATAGACCGTGTATATACGTTGTATGCACGTTGTTCTTGACGATGCCGTTCACGATATCCCATCGACGACGACAACTCGACCGTAGTCTTAGCAACACGCGACCATACAAATAGTCGTTACGTGCCGGATACGCTTGCGTGAAGCAATCGTCGATATTAATAAAAAGAACTTCTGGCTTTACTCTTACAATTAAATAAAAGTCGAAGTGGATGATGTATTTCTCAGATTTCTTCAGCCGACAGGATCGTAGAATGCATTTGCAACTTGTATATAAATCGAAGAGTTTAAAAAACAAAAACTTCTTTAATTGATATACTATTATTTTTGGACGCCACTATGTAATTATTGATTTCTTTTTATTATTGCAAATGCGTGCGGAATGTATTTTTTCGTAAATTATAATGGCGAGTATTTTTAGTCAGGCGAGAAAGAAAATAATAGATCAATATTGCGCTTTTATACCGGGCTTAAATCGATACACGAGCTGCGGAACGTTTTTATTCTAGCTGAATATAATGATTTGTTAAACGGAGAAGAGTTTAACCGACATAGATATCTAATTAATAATATAATTAAGAATATACGTAACTTGTTATACACGTGATATATCAAAGAAACCGCCTGTTTTCTTTGAGTTATCAGTATGTTATATATATTATTTATAACCTGTTGGCATTTCGCGAAATGTGTAAACAGTAAACAAATAGATCAGTTGGCTATTTTTCGATGTGCTGCCAAATCATAATTCTATTTTAAGCTGAGATTTATAATAAGAGCACGCGCTGTGTGTGCTCATAGCTTATAGAGCAGTCTCTCGCGTGTCTTCAATTACGCGAACGCATTTTACGATCTTTCGACTTTGCGATATAATCTCAATAATTAATTAATTACTAATTAATTCACAACAATTAATTAATTTTTAACAAGATCCGCAGTTGTTACGAAAACCGAAACTCTCTTCTGACATCGCGATGTGTCACGTCTGACAAACAACGTATATCTCTACCTCTGCTTTAAACAATGTAAATATTTGTAGAGAAAATCTTGCAAACGCGAAAACAAGGTCTCAAAAGTTATTACAAAACTGGCTCGGTGCCTATAGAAAACAATACGCGTATTAAAGATTTGGTATAAAAGACGATGATTAAAGCATCAAGAGGCAAAATATCGAGAGAAAATATACGCAAGTGCATCTGTGATCCAGATGGAACCACGAGAGACAATGGAATTGCTCGAAGCCTATCTGCGAGAGAACAATCTTGCACAAGATGAATCCCGGGTATGGACCATCGAGTGCTCTCCCTTGGGAGGTCGCGGCATGTTCGCCACACGGGACATTCGAGCCGGCGAATTGATCTTCACGGATGTCCCGCTGTTGATAGGACCGCGATACAGCAAGTACCTATCGATGTGTGTCGTCTGTTACAAGAACAACTGTCCCCTGTTCCCCTGCGATCATGGTTGCGGTTTGCCGATCTGTTCGACGGAATGCGAGAACTCGATGATGCACTATCAAGCGGAGTGTCGATTACTCAGGGAGTGGATGCCGACCTGCGGTTCCACCTGGTCTAAGGATCTGATGTTCGCGGTAGTACCGATACGCGGTCTTATGTTGTCGAAGGAGCAACGTAAACTCTTGTATGCCTTTGAGTGCCATCCGAATCTTACTCGTAACTATGAGGTATATTTGATCCGATTTACTTTTCTTTCATACATGATATTTCATAAGTTTCTGATTCGTATAACGAATATCTGATTTTGTAGAAATGTACACAAAAAATGAACAAATTCTTATAATTAATAATGTGTTTCATATTTTGTTTCTTCTATTTTCATATGTGTTTTTCATTAATATCATTATTTTTCTAAAATTTATTATGTAATTATATCATTCTAGTTACATGGACAACACTCTCTTTTTTGAATGATATTACATAGACTTGAATACAATCTATCTCTCACTCGTCCTCTTTTCATATTTTCTCCATATAAATATAATATTTAAAAGAAAGAGAAAAAAGAGAGAGAAAAGATGCGATAATAATATATATTAATTAAAGAGTCTAAAATGAACTTCAAGCTCGATCTGGTCAAAAGAAACGTGAGCAACCTTCCCAGCGAAGAGCAAATGGAGCTTATGAGACGCATTTGCGAAGTCTGCAACACGAATTCCTTCGAAGTCGTGATCTCGAGAAACGAGGACTGCACCACGAGTTTACGCGGTGTTTACCCCATAGGTGCGTTTCAGAATCATTGCTGTGTGCCGAACACCAGACACCACTTCGATGACCATCAACGACTGTACGTGAGCGCTTCACTGCCGATCGCCGCTGGCGAGGAGCTCACTATGTCTTACACCGATCTCCTGTGGGATACATCGAGCAGGAGGCAATTCCTGAGGGTCACCAAACGCTTCTCCTGCAACTGCAGTAGATGCTCCGATCCCTCGGTATGTCGATACACAAATCTAAAAAAAAAAAAAAAAAAAACAGTTAGTTGCGATAAGAAAAACTTACGCGGGACGTTTCTTTTTTTTCCCCAGGAATTCGGATCTTATCTCGGAGCGCTTCTCTGTGCAAAGGACGATTGTTCTGGATATTTGCTACCACGCAATCCTCTCAATCTTAAATCTCCCTGGATCTGTGACAAGTGCCAGATCAGCATGAACCACAGACAGGTGATATCTAAAACTTCAAAAGCATTACTTTCGCACGCAATAAAAATAATTACTCTACAACTTTTTTACTCTTTCAGAATAAATATCTTCTCTGCAATTATTGATTTCGAGAAGCTATTTATTTGCGTATTAATAATATGTTCGCATATTTATTACAGTATTTATATGATTATTTATTTAATTGAAAAGTATAGATAGCTTGATTTTATCAATTTACAGATTGAATGCATTTATTCGATGTTGAACACGTTTGTACTTGATGCGGTGTACAAGACTCCGCGTGAGATTCTAAAATTTATAGAAGCAGTATTATCGAAATTAATTCCAACGACTAATTACATCATGATAGATGTCAAGTATCGTATAATTTCCTACTTTGGCAGAGTGCCGAATCTAAAATGGGAAGGTAATATATATTTTCTATCTTATCTTAGCGCTGCGCGGAATATTTTGTTTACAAGCTATTAGTTTTATATTATACATCTTAATGCGAAACGTAATTTGTGTTATTACAGATCTTACGGATGCAGATCTTAGCATCAAGAAAATGTATTGTAACGATGTACTTTCTATTTTGGATGCTTTAGGTTCTGGAGATTCTATTAAAAAAGGTAACATAATGACTTTATTACTTCATAGTTTCATTATAATCAAAATTGGAAAAAAAACGAAAGATAATTTTTTGAATATTCGGAATATGTTTTCCAGGTCTTGTCTTATACGAGCTATATCGTACAAATCTTGAATTATCTAAGCGCCAGATTTCGGAAAAACAAACACATTCGCGCATCGAGGTATGAGGAATATAATTCACGTTAATTATACATGTCTTAATTATTGTCCTAAATTCTTTTTCTAGGATAGCGATAATAAATATCTATTACGACAGGCAATGAATATATTGCAAAATGATGTCAGTGCAGCCTGTGTTCGCAAAAGTGATTAACGCGAAAAGACACCGTTCTAAAGTTGTATTTATTGATTGTATTATTTGATGTCTAGAATGGATATATATGTGTGTACGAGTATATTTGAAATAATGCATCATATATTGCTATGTATATTATGATTTTCATAATCTAATCATTTGGTTTCGTACTTTAATTTGTATGATATACAAGAAATGTTTGTGGATATATACAAATATAGTTATTACGATAAAAAAATGTGCATAAGCGATTATTATATGATGAAAAATACGTATTTAACAGAGATTAAATTTGAAAATTTAGGTTTAAAATATGTAAACATTCATTGATTTTTATCAAAAATGCAAATGTTCAAACAAAAATATGGTCAACCGATAATTAGGACATAGTTTTATGTCAATTAAAAGTTATGATACAGACTGTTATAGCATCAAGTAGATCACTATGCACACACACACACACACACACATACATGTATAAGGCAGTGTACATATATTTTATACAGTCAATACAAAAAAAACTAGTAGTTATTCACAATTTTAGGCATACATTTCATCTCTCTTTCATACTACTTGCTGTAATAAGCATTTTGCTTCCTCATATAAAGCAGCACCTGGCTTTAGCGTTTCTAAATCATAATCCACGTCTTCATCATAATTTGTATTGTTATTTCTGTAATAAAATTTCATTATATTACAGGCACAATTGTAAAAAAATATATTAATGTAAAATTTTCTACAAGTCTTAATTTATAAAATAACACAAAAAGATTTAATTTTATGTTCACTTTCAATTTGTTCTTAAATAGCATAATTTAATGCAACTCACCTGTACAAAGAATCATCAACAGCGTGCATTGCACCATTACCTAAATCCTGCAGCAACTGATTTCGCGCGAGCGCCGTGTGCATCAATGCAATATCAGCAAGCAAGAATTCTTTACGATTCATAAAAAAATTTGAAAAATGTTATTTTGCAGACTCATTTCTGATTTTAGCAAAATTATATTAAAAAATACTCACCATTTTTTTCATATTTTTTTAGTAGTTTTTTTACGAAATCTTCGCCCGCATACTTCTTAGATATACCAATTCTATAAAAGATAGCTTTGCACTGCCATCGATTCTCTGTAGAGTCTTGATTTGATAAAACAATTCTCCTCGCTTGCGTTTCCTTTACGAGGGATTCCCAATCGACGCCTAAAGCATCGCCCAATCCTTTGCCGCTCGTTTTGATGTCCTCTTCTAGCTCGCCATCAGAAATTTCTTCAAAGTCCATAGTTTCCATATTTTCATCTTCTATGTTCCTATTAAAATATAATGACATTATATAAAATTTGGAATAATTTTCATAATGGGAAATTGTTATTCACTCTGAATTATAACATTTTATAATATCATTCATATCTTACTTCAATGACATTGTATCGGCGTTATCCTTAGACTTTGAACTGAAAATGGTTTCTTCTACAGATTCCTTCGGAGATAACTGAGCAGGTTCCTGTGCAGTTGATTGTGTGTCGCGATGTGCAGCATCCGGTACTTTCTTGTTTGTCCGCGTTTTATTACTTTCCATATCCTGTCGAGAAATTACATAAACTCGTTAAGCTTTTTTTTGCAACAAAAAACAAAAATGCAAAAATATGCAATACCTACCGTAGTATCTTCTTCCATATTCAATATATCGTCAGGATCATCGCTGATATCACTCAAATCGCTCTCAGTGTGGAGAGTTTGCAAAGAATCATCGACTATGGGACGCTTCGGTTCCGTCGCGACGGATTCCTTGATTTCGGGTTTATCCTTTTGTGAATTCTTCTTTTGGAAACTATCCGTGGATTTTTCTCTCATAGTTGTACACAACTTGCCTTCGGCAAGTTCCATCAGTTTTTTGTTGATAGGTTCTTCTTTCATGCTGCCGTAAATAGCAGCCTGTTTAGCAGACGGATGAATTGTCGGTTCCTCTCTCGTTTCCGGCGCATTATACGATCGTCTTTTGCTAAAAAAAATTTAATTAATAGAGAATATATATATATATATATGCTATGTTTACTTATGTTGCGTAGATTCTCCGAGCTCCAAGTCTTTCGAGCGTTCGTTTCTATAATGCGATCGAACGTGCACGTTCTGATTATCCCACTTCCGCGTATCGCTGGACTTCCAGTCAGCCATTGAACTGTCGTATCGGGGGTTGTTCCACTCGTCATCATGTATCTCCGAGCGAGGAAGACTATCCCTGCCTTCCCATAACGTTCTCGTGCGCCACTCTCTCTCCTCCCATTCCGCCGTCGGATAATTTCGATCCCGGCCATGTTCCATGTCGCGATGATGTCCTTCCCAATCATCGTTTGAAACAGTCTCATCTCTAACAACAAAAGATAGAGAGAAGAAAAAAGAATGAGTAATATATACTTGGCTATCTATAAGTATCTATTCATTTTTTTTAAATCTTGTATTCTCTCTCTCCTCTTTTCCCCCTTCTCTCTTTATATATATATAT